CACTATCATCATCTTCAGGGCAGATTTTTTTTTTTATTCGGCGTATAATTCCTTACTAAATGTAGTGTTTCATGTTGATGTACTCCGATATGATTTAAATCAATTTCCTCATCATTATAAATATCGTGAATACACATCAAATAGATTTCTGGTTGCAATTTTCTAATTTCAACTATGCGTAATGTATGCTTTACGTATGCGCGCATTGAAAGAAATGTTTAATAAAGTAAACAAATAAATATTAAGCTTTTTTTTTTTTTTTTTGTAAATTTTGATACCCTTTACATCATAATTGCTCTTTATTTCATAAATCACGATTTCATATTTTTAATTGTATAATTTCTGCATGCCATCTTACCAGATTTAAATTGATGATCTATAATCCGGAAAAAACCCTAATCCGGAATCGCCGAAGTCCCGACAAGTCCGGATTAAAGACTTTGTATTGTATAAATATATCGTTTCACTTGTGATCTCGGTTAGATATCTCTTTAGAAGCAAAACAGCTTCACTCATGGCATATATGTAATGTATTTTTAATTTCTTTTAGATTACTACATTAGTAAATGCAAAAGAAAAGCCAATAAAGTCGGAGAAGACATTACGAGCAATTGTGCATGTTGGCCAGGCTGTTAATTTTGCTGTTCAAAAATTTGTATCTGTTGGAGAAGCAATTGCTGATGATAATTGTGAAATAAAATCTGACATGTATGAAGCTTGTAGAGATGCCAAATCTGCAGGTTAGTTATGAATTTCATAACTCTCAAATTTTGGTTAGTTTTACCGTAGATACAATTTTGTACAATTAGAATATGTTATTTTAATAACTTTCATATCTACATTATGCTGCTGCTAACAACAGTTATATTTGCTTTGAATATTTTATATAATATGATGTGTTTTATTTTCTGCATGTAATTTGTATGTGCTGAAATATACATATTTTGTTGTTATAATCAGTAAAAGTATATTCATGGGTACCCGTAAGGGAAAATTGGCGATTTTTGGCGGTACATGGATACCAAGTTTGTGCAATTTTTTGACTTGTTATTTTGGCATGTGTAGCTGCAATTTTTGTGCCAAAAGTTGCCGCTACACAAAGCCAAAATAACAAGAAACAGAATTTCACAAACTCGATATCCATGTACACATTGACCTATTTTCACTTAAAAAAAATCCCAGAATTGCACAAAACTTGGCATTGCACACTTCCTTGACTTTATGTACCCATCGCCCTGTTTTCACTTAAAAAAAATCATCAGAGAATTGCACACTCCTTTGACTTTGTCCATGTACACATCAAACTATATTCATTTAAAAAGTCAAATTAACAGCAAATAAAAAATTTATAATCTCAATAAACTACATTTTAAATCAAACAATGAAATAACATAAAAAAGGAAATTTATCTTTGCACTACACAAAGGAAATACCCATTTACCTTATTTATGAATTAATATGTCTTCAGTCGAACAAAATTTCTTAAGAGCATTCAAAAACTTCCTAAAATGATCTGAACTAGAATCTGTATACTGGCTTCGCCACATAAATTCACAAAATAAGAGTAAAAAATATCCTCAGTAGCACCGTTATAGTCCGACCATACGCATTTCCTTCCTACAAACAGGACACTCAATAATGGTTACTAAGCAAACCTTCATTTACACACCAGTCTAGTAATGCTCTTTTCCTCTTTCTTTCTAAATCGTACAGAAACTTCAAATTAATCTTACCACATTCAGCCATTTTACCATCTAAGTCAGAAAACAAGCGATCTACTTCCTAACCAAGCACATAGCGACAAGCCCTTACAAGTTCACCGCAATCATGCAACTGATTACATCATAGATAGGGTTGTGCATAAAATTCAACTACTCAGGCTACCATAAATAAACCACCACTTGGCGATAAATGAAGACCACAACTGTACGGGATAATACAAAGAGTACCTTCTTTCTTCTAACCTTATAGTCTATATGTTTTATGCATGCTGTGTTCTCGTTTATAGTTGTGAAATTTAAGGGCTCATAATATGCTTTTAAAGTATGTTTAAGTTTAACCACAGTATTCCAATAATTCACACATCTTCAAACACATTGACTGCATGCATTAGAGAATTTTAACGTGGGTCTTACCGAGTTTTGTTTACAATCTTCCTTTTCTAAATTTTATTTTAAATTTTGATTGTTTACACATAAATAAGTTATCAAAGCATGCTTACAGTAACAATTTTAAGGCAGTTTATCCCAGGGCCCTGAATAATCTGTATTTTTTTAGAACTTAAAAAAGCATCTTTTGCAAAATATTCTATTATGATGTTATTATTTTTTGTTTTTAAATAAAGATGCTGAAAAATAGTCAATTAGGGTGGCAAATAAAGTAAGGCCTGACAGAATATTTGGCACTTCTGGGTTAATAAAGTACCACTTAGCATTAAATCTAAATGCTGACGCGAAGCCTAATTAGAGAGAGGCGGGCCATTTTGAGAAATCTTGGAATCCCAAGCAAGTTCAAGGATTGGGGGCTCTTTAACATGGTCTTTTTCAAAATTATATTTTCTGTGGCCTGGTCAGACAGTTACATAATTTATTACCACTACAGAACAAAGTCCGTAATCCTGACTCGTTGGCATTTCGGCGATTCTGGATTAGGGTTCCTAAAATGAAAAACTTCCTAAAATGATCTGAACTAGAATCTGTATACTGGCTTCGCCACATAAATTCACAAAATAAGAGTAAAAAATATCCTCAGTAGCACCGTTATAGTCCGACCATACGCATTTCCTTCCTACAAACAGGACACTCAATAATGGTTACTAAGCAAACCTTCATTTACACACCAGTCTAGTAATGCTCTTTTCCTCTTTCTTTCTAAATCGTACAGAAACTTCAAATTAATCTTACCACATTCAGCCATTTTACCATCTAAGTCAGAAAACAAGCGATCTACTTCCTAACCAGCACATAGCACAAGCCCTTACAAGTTCACCGCAATCATGCAACCAATTACATAATAGATAGGGTTTCCATAAAATTCAACTACTCGGGCTACCATAAATAAACCACCACTTGGCGATAAATGAAACAACAACTGTACAATAATACAAAGAGTACCTTTCTTTCTTCTAACCTTATAGTCTATATGTTTTATGCATGCTGTGTTCTCGTTTATAGTTGTGAAATTTAAGGGCTCATAATATGCTTTTAAAGTATGTTTAAGTTTAACCACAGTATTCCAATAATTCACACATCTTCAACACATTGACTGCATGCATTAGAGAATTTTAACGTGTGTCTTACCGAGTTTTGTTTACAATCTTCCTTTTCTAAATTTTATTTTAAATTTTGATTGTTTACACATAAATAAGTTATCAAAGCATGCTTACAGTAACAATTTTAAGGCAGTTTATCCCAGGGCCCTGAATAATCTGTATTTTTTTAGAACTTAAAAAAGCATCTTTTGCAAAATATTCTATTATGATGTTATTATTTTTTGTTTTTAAATAAAGATGCTGAAAAATAGTCAATTTTTTTTTTTTTTTTTTTTTTTTTTTTTTTTTTTTTTTTTTTTTTTTTTTTTTTTTTTTTGTTTTTAGGGTGGCAAATAAAGTAAGGCCAGACAGAATATTTGGCACTTCTGGGTTAATAAAGTACCACTTAGCATTAAATCTAAATGCTGACGCGAAGCCTAATTAGAGAGAGGCGGGCCATTTTGAGAAATCTTGGAATCCCAAGCAAGTTCAAGGATTGGGGGCTCTTTAACATGGTCTTTTTCAAAATTATATTTTCTGTGGCCTGGTCAGACAGTTACATAATTTATTACCACTACAGAACAAAGTCCGTAATCCTGACTCGTTGGCACTTCGGCGATTCTGGATTAGGGTTTTTTTCATTAATTTAAATCTGGTAAGATGGCATGCAGAAATTATACAGTTAAGAATATGAAACTGTAATTTATGAAATAAAGAGCAATTATGATCTAAAGGATATCAAAATTTACAAAAAAAAAAAAAAAAAAAAAGCTTAATATTTGTTTACTTTATTAAACATTTCTTTTAATGCAAGTTGTTTAAGTTGCTTCATTTTTTTTTTTTTTTTTTTGCTAATTTTGCTAATACTTTCTCTTTCATTCTGTAAACAAATTTATTTGTTTATATCATTATTATCATTCTGTAAACAAATTTATTCATTTGTTCAAATAAACAAATTTAATAAATAAAATTTCTTTATTTGTGCAAATAAACAAATTTAATAAATAAAATTTCTTGTTCAGTTACAAAGTTCCACTGTTCAAGTCCTGTAATTGCTGTGTCTAGAATACCAACTAACTTGTCAATCAAAATTTTTTTGTTTCCAATAACCTCTCTGTCACTTTCATCACTATCAAAAGCACACATGCGTATCGGAAGTGTGCATTAAATGCGCATGCGTAAAGTATACCAAAAAAAAAAAAAAACTTTGTGCCTTTGAGGTTTGGATTATAGATCATTCCAGATAATGGACGTCCGGATTATGGACTTTGTACTGTATTAACTGTATTTTCAAAGCAAAAAGAAAGAAAATAATAAGTACTTATCTTTTTTTTTTTTTTTTTTTCATATTAATAGGTTCAAAATAATGTATTTTCAGTTGTGAAATAGACCAGAAATATCAAATCAAAGGAGAAACACGCCAAAGTTAAACTTAAAATTTGTAAAGAAATAACCTTGCATTTAGACAAAAAACTCGATGAATTTTGAGGGCAAACAGGTCCCTCTTCTTCTGGGGCAAAGAAATTTGCAAGACTGAAAAGCAGAAGGCACATCAGTTCTATTTATACCATACTGCAGTAAAATGAACAAGATGATGGTGCCATATATCAGCAAAATTATTAATGAAAACTGAATTAAGTTTATCATAGTTGGTAATTTAATCATAATTTTGACTTTAGGTCTGCAGAAATTATCCAAACAGCTTTTTCCATTGGTGAATTAGATTTTCTTGAAACTTTTCACATTCACAAAGATTTATCATGTTTAGTTAATGACTTAAAGTCCAACCCAGTCCCTCCCAATGCTTTTAAAATTCTAATAACTTAATTTTTCAATTTTCATTACTAATTTTGCTGTCAAATGGGTGCTACCTCCTCATTCGCTTTACTGCGGTAGCATATAAATAGGATCATTATGTCCATTGCTGCTCTTCAAGAAATATCCATAGCGGTATACCACAAGGTTCGGTTTTAGGACCTTATTTGTTTTTATTTAATGCTGCTGACTTTCTTCAGACACCTTAAAACAATGCTATATTGACCTGCTATGCACGCAATACTGCTCTGGCAATAAAGACTACAAATATGAATCATGCCATCAAAAAATTGTAAAATTTCATTCTCAGCATAGAAAGATGGTGCGTGCAACGGAAAGTCCAAATAAATGCAGCCAAATTTCAACTTCCTCTCATACAGAGAAGAAAAAGGAACACTCCTGGGAAAAGAGGACTTAATGTGTTTAACAAAAATGTTTCTATTCTTTCTCATACCAAGTACTTCAGAGTGATTATTAATGATCGCTTAATGTGGACTAATCATATAAATCACATCGGAGACAAGGCTTGACAAATTATTAAATGTCTCTACTGAACTGTGGGTAAATACTGCACTGTGGACTTAAAAACAAAGTGGCTCATCTACACTTCAAGATACTTCAATGCACTTCACGATCAAGACTGATAATGACTTATGCCTCTCTGTAGAGCACCTT